TTATCGCGGTCCATAGCTCGGCTTCGCCTCGCACTGATCACTGTTCCACAAAGGCAATTTCTTAGTTTCAGTTTTGGTAATGTAAGAACATAATATTGAGCAGATTGAATTGACAATTTTTTTGAATTTGGGAAGAATATTTTTATTTTTTTGAAACATCACCTATATATTAAATGCCTTTTTTTTGAAAATTTCTATTCAGCTTGTTCAATCCAAATTTGCACATAAGATTTTTTAAATGTTATTATCATTTTTTGGGTTTGATGACAAATACGCTCGGCTCCGGCCGCCTCGCCTCGCTCTGATTTGTAACGGTCCATAGCTCGGCTTCGCCTCGCACTGTTCACTGTTCTACAAAGACAATTATTCAGTTTCAGTGTTGGTGTGGTAAGAAAATGATATTGATCAGACTGATTGGACATTTGTTTTTGAATTTATGAGGAATATTTTTGTTTTTGGGAAACATCGCTATGCAAAGTTTTTGGAAAATTTCGATTCAACTTGTTGACTCCAGTTCCTAACATAAATGCACATAAAAGTGTAATGTGTTATTGGGCATTGGTAAATGTCGTTTGCCATTGTGGACGTAGAGAGACGAGTCTAAGGGAGGGCCAGAGTTATGCCGAACTCGCCTTCGGCTCGCTCGGCATTGGTGTACAAGGCGCGTGTGTTAAGAATCGAAAGCCTTTGGTTATTTTACTTGGTTGGGGAAACGGTTAAAAAGAATTTTTGTTTGAATTTGTATTTCGAAAAAAGTTAAAAAAAATTGCTTAAATTTACAAATAACCTAATGTCCACCGGTGCTTGGTGTCACATTCGATTTAGCTTCATTTATAATTTTTGTTTGAATTTGTCTTTCAAAAAAGTTAAACAAATTTTTTTTAAATCTACAAATAACCTAACGTCCCAAGCTGTTTGGTGCCACACTCTTCATATTCAGTTTTTTTTTAAATTTGTATTTTAAAGAAGTATATATAAAATATGTAGGTATAAAAAAGCCTCGCACTGTTCAGTGTTCAACAACGACAATTTCTCAGTTTCAGTTTTGGCGTGGTAAGAACACCTATACAAAGTGATTTTTCTACTCAACCTGTTGAATACAAATCTGCACATAATTGTACATAAGATTTTTTAGTTTCGATAACACTTTTTGGTTTTGATGAGACATCCGCTCGGCTCCGGCGGCTTAGCCGCCTCGCCTCACTCTGCTTCGTAACGCTCCTTAGCTCGGCTTCGCCTCGCACTGTTTTCTGTTCAACAAAGATAATTTCTCAGTTTCAGTTTTGGTGTGGTAAGAAAATGCTATTAAGCAGACTGAATTGATATTTTTTTTGAATTTGTGAGGAATATTATTTATGAAAACATCACCTAAACGAAGTGATTTTTTTGAAAATTTCTATTCAACTTGTTGAATCCAGATCTGCACAGATTTTTAAATGTTGTTGTCAATTTTTGGTTTTGATGAGACATACGCCCTGATTTGTAACGGTCCATAGCTCGGCTTCGCCTCGCGCTGTTCACTGTTCCACAAAGACAATTTTTCAGTTTCAGTTTTCGTAATGTAAGAGACTGATATTGAGCAGACTGAATTGAAAATTTTTTTGGACACATCACCTATATAAAGTGCCTTTTTTTGAAAATTTCTATTCAACTTGTTCACTCCAAATCTACACAAAAGATTTTTTAATTTTGTTATCACTTATAGGGTTTGATGAGAAATACGCTCGGCTCTGTCGGCTTTGCCGCCTCGCCTCGCTCTGATTTGTGACGGTCCATAGCTCGGCTACGCCTCGCACTGTTCTACACAGACAATTTCTCAGTTTCAGTTTTGGTAATGTAAGAAAATTATATTTTTTTTAATTTGTGAAGAATATTTTTTTTTTGGAAGCGTCGTCAATACAAAGTGACTTTCTTTTTATTCCGACCTGTTGTTGAATTTAACAAATTCAGATGTGCACATGATTGCACATAAGATTTTTAAATTTTGATAGCACTTTTTGGTATAAGACATACGCGATTGCACGCACTCATTCTTGCTATCCACCGTAAGCCGCGACGGCGTCCAAGAAGCGCTTACCGTTTCACTTCCGGAGCGTGAAATCACAAAAACGGGTGTTTCGCGGGGGAGGAATACCCCTCGCGAGATTTCCTTAATTTTCGCGTATTTTCTTCACCGCAACGTACCGATCGTATTTAAAATTTTCAAAAAAAATTTCGCCTCGCTCTGATTTGTCACGGTCCATAGCTCGGCTTCGCCTCACACTGATCACTGTTCCACAAAGACAATTTCTTAGTTTCAGTTTTGGTAATGTAAGAACATAATATTGAGCAGACTGAATTGACAATTTTTTTGAATTTGTGAAGAATATTTTTGTTTTTTAGAGACATCACCTATATTAAATGCCTTTTTTGAAAATTTCTATTCAGCTTGTTCAATCCAAATTTGCACATAAGATTTTTTAAATTTTGTTATCCTTTTTTGGGTTTGATGACAAATACGCTCGGCTCCGGCGGCTTTGCCGCCTCGCCTCGCAATGATTTGTAACGGTCCATAGCTCGGCTTCGCCTCGCACTGTTCACTGTTCTACAAAGACAATTCTCAGTTTCAGTGTAGGTGTGGTAAGAAAATGATATTGATCAAACTGATTGGACATTTTTTTTTTGAATTTATGAGGAATATTTTTGTTTTTTGGAAACATCGCTATGCAAAGTTTTTTGAAAATTTCGATTCAACTTGTTGACTCCAGTTCCTAACATAAATGCATATAAAACACAAATGGTAATACTTATTGGTTTTGAGGAGATATCCGTTCGGCTCCGGAATTGGTGTGAAAAAAAGTGTAATGTGTTATTGGGCGTTGGTAAATGTCGTTTGCCACTGTGGACGTAGAGAGACGAGTCTAAGGGAGGGCCAGAGTTATGCCGAACTCGCCTTCGGCTCGCTCGGCATTGGTATACAAGACGCGTGTGTTAAGAATCGAAAGTCTTTGGTTATTTTACTTGGTTGGGAAAACAGTTAAAAAGAATTTTTGTTTGAATTTGTATTTCGAAAAAAGTTAAAAAAATTTTTGAAAATCTACAAATAACCTAATGTCCACCGCTGCTTGGTGTCACATTCGATTTAGCTTCATTTATAATTTTTGTTTGAATTTGTACTTTAAAAAAATTTAAACAAATTTCTTAAATCTACAAATAACCTAATGTCTCAAGCCAAGAGAGGGCCAAAGTGATGCCGAACTCGCCTTCGGCTCGCTTGGCATTGATGTGAAAAAAAGTGTAATGTGTGATTGGCCATTGGTAAATGTCGTTTGCCACCGTGGACGTAGAGAGACGAGTCTAAGGGAGCGCCAGAGTTATGCCGAACTCGTCTTCGGCTCGCTCTACATTGGTATACGAGGCGCGTGTGTTAAGAATCGAAAGTCTTTGGTTATTTTACTTGGTTGGGGAAAGGGTTATTAAGAATTTTTGTTTGAATTTTTAGTTCAAAAAAAGTTAAAAAAAAATTTCTTAAACCTACAAATAACCTAATGTCCAACGCTGCTTGTTGTCACATTCGGTTTAGCTTCATTTTTAGTTTTTATTTGAATTTGTATTTTTAAAAAGTATAATTATACAAAAAATATATATAACAGTCTCGCACTGTTCACTGTTCAACAAAGGCAATTTCTTAGTTTCAGTTTGGTAAGAACATGATACTAAGTAGACTGATTTGATAATTTTTTTGAATTTGTGAGGAATATTTTTGTTTATGGAAACATCACCTTTTTTAAATGCCTATTCAATTTGTTGAATCCAGATCTGCACATAATTGCACATAAGATTTAAATTTCGTTATCATTTTTTGGTTTTGATGAGACATACGCTCGGCTTCGCCTCGCACCGTTCACTGTTCCATAAAGACAATTTTTCAGTTTCAGTTTTGGTAATGTAAGAAAATGATATTGAGCAGACTGAATTGACATTTTTTTTTAATTTGTAAAGATTTTTGTTTTTTGAAAACATCAATTATATAAAGTGCCTTTTTTTGAAAATTTCTTGTCAACTTGTTCAATCCAAATCTGCACATAAGATTTTTAAATGTTGTTATCACTTTTTGGGTTTGATGAGAAATATGCTCGGCTCCGGCGGCTTTGCCGCCTCGCCTCGCTCTGATTTGTAACGGTCCATAGCTCGGCTTCGCCTCGCCCTGTTCACTGTTCTACAAAGACAATTTCTCAGTTTTGGTAATTTAAAAAAAATTTCGTCCGCAGGTATAGCAATTATAATAATAATTGCGATTTCCCCATTATCGTATATCGAATCCCGATCGCCTTCCGATCGATCGCCTCCAATAGAGAACTAATTCTGCCAAATTTTTCCCATTGTAAGTACATACCTACGAAGGCAAACTTGGCAAACACGAGACATAATCGTTTTTTTTACAAAAAAATTTCCAGAACCTTTATTTTTCAATCGATTTGGACGGGGAAAGGTGCATCTGATAGCTAATAATTCGAGCTAAATATTTCCCATTGAACGTCCCCGTCTGGAAAGTCTCTTAAAAAAATTATAACCAAAAAACTCACGCGTCTATGTCACCCTTAATTTAAAA